AGCAGGACTACATCAGGAAAGCGGAGTACCCTTTCAGCTCCGAGCAGAAGTGGATGGCCGTCAAGTGTGTGCATCGAACACAGCAGGTATTCCTGTTAAAGACTGCTGAGGCCCTGTTCAGCTCGGCTGGTGATGTCTGCACCGACTCTCTGTCTTTAGATTTAAACATGTGTGTGATGAGAACTGCTGCTCTGTGTGTAACTGTGGGATAGGTAGGACAGTCACCTCTTACTAGCCTCCTTGTTCCCTTTGACACTCTTCTCCTAGAACCCACCCACAGGTATGTTTAATTTTGCCATGGAGCAAACAGCTTAACTGAGTTACAGCCTGGTGTTCGTTGCCTGTGGCTCATGGCGTCAGGTTCTCTCAACGTGTTTTGTTCTTTGTTCTTGAGCTGGAAGGAGAGATTACAGAAAAAGGTCTAGGCAAGGGGTAGAGACCATGTACAAAAGTTTAAGAATTACAGTAGCTTCTTTATACTTTTCAACTACAGCGCTGGACACAGGAGGCCGGGAGATGGTCAGACAGAAGCCTTCGTCATAGAGGAAGTTAATCTGGCTGAGCCTAGAAAGGCGAGGGTTCACTAAGAATGCGTGTCCAGGGCCGTCCGCCCTTTCCTAGGAAGATACTAGTGGGTAGTAAACCGAGGAGAAGGAAGACTTGGGGCTCAGCGAGGCTGTGGGGAGGTGAAGGCAGTCCTGGGTCCCAGTGCTGCAGCAGCAGCTGGAGCAGGGCGAGCGGACAGGACCCCAGGGGGGGGTCTCCGGTAAAGATACGGCAGTGCCAGTCGCTTGTCTGTTCATTTGTTTATATAAAAAATACCACATGGCAGAGCTTTTCTGCGGAAGAATTTGGGAAGAATTAATGGTAAGTATAAAGCAGCTTGTTCTAACTCTTTGCCGTAGGGTGTGCACACTCGCGGGGAGACGGAGGAAGGGGGCGTCATGTGGCAGTCCCTTCCCCATTCTCCTGGGATTTGGGGCACGCACGCACATGCACCTGGTATGATTTTCAAACTGCCAGGTCTAGGACTTGAACCGTTGCTGACCATGTAGGAGACCAGCACCTTAACCACTGCGCCACCTGCTGGCCCCAAAGCACGCTTTAAAAAGAGGCAGTCACTGACTTGACGAAAGGTAAAATGTGAACGAGAGTGTCCCACCTGCTCTGTCTGTAAGGATAGGCCATGGACACATAATGCCCTCCGCCACCTTTCTGGGCCAAGATTCGGCCAGGCCGCTTCACTCAGGAGCAGGCAGGAGACAGCTCTGTCTGTCAGCACACACGCCACGGCCGAAGTAGAGGGACAGACTGCGGAGCAGCCCTCCAGCCTCCATTGGCAATGCCACACGCACTTGCTCACGTATCACTGGTCAGAGCGAGGTGCCCTGGCTGGGGTGGCGGGTACGTTCCTGCCCACGGAGGAGCGGTGCGCGTGGGCTGGGGCCCTCAGCACGGGCTGAGCAGCGAGCAGCCCTGATGTGAGCGCGGCGCTGACAGGTTTGCCTTAGCCTCGTCATAAAGATGGCAGAGGGCGAGTGGGGAGCCGGTGACCAGTTAGTACCTGTAGTAATAGTGTATGCGACTGGTGCGTGAAGTGGTAGCAGTGTCGCGTGGATACAGCTAAAAGGATTAAGATTGATTCACTTTAATGAGCAGGACTGGGGGAGCAGGAGACTAACTTTTTATTGTAAGTTTTCTAACATTACTTTTACTGTGACTAATAGAAAAGTCTGGTAACACCATGGCTGCGAGTTAGTTGTGAGAGTTGAAGGGGCTCACAGGTGTGTGGATACTGAGCTCTAGAGACCTCGAAGCCCCTTTGCGGTCGAGGGTAGAGCTCGCCTTTTCCTGTTGTTTTTGTCAGAGCACCTGGATGGAGGCTCAGTGTGTGATCATGGGGCAGGTTTGTTTTTATAGGCGGTGCAGAAAGCCCCCACATTTTTTGTCTCAGTTTTTTGCCGTAAGTTATGCGCTTGCTGGAGAGAGACAGCGAGAGGGGTGGTGAGAAGTCAGCCCTGGAGGGTGTAATGCACCTCAGCCCGTTTTCCATTCTCCCGGGGGTTTTGGGCACACACGTGCCTGGCGTGCACTTCAAGCCTTTGAGTCTGGACTCGAACAGTGGTCAGCCATGTGGGAGTCTAGCACCTTGACCACCACGCCACCTGCTGGCCCCTCACATTAAGTTTCATCCTTGTGGTTTAGTGCCACTCAGCCTTCGGGTTGGTTAGCCTCCCTGGGGACTGTGGGAAACGCAGGCCGCTCGTGGATGGGCTCCAGCGGCAGACGAGTGGGGACTCCTACTGGTGTCTTTTTCTTCCTAGGACAGACCAGAGGTTTGTTTCATGAAGGGTGCGTTTGAGCAGGTGATTAAGTACTGCACCACATACCACAGCAAAGGGCAGCCCTTGGCCCTTACCCAGCAGCAGAGAGACGTGTACCAGCAGGAGAAGGCTCGGATGGGCTCCGCGGGGCTCAGAGGTAAGGCCCTCTCGTGTCCCTGGGGTGGAGGGGAGAGCCCTCCCGTCACTGCAGGCTCGGATGGGCTCCGCGGGGCTCAGAGGTAAGGCCCTCTCGTGTCCCTGGGGTGGAGGGGTGGGCTCCGCAGGGCTCAGAGGTAAGGCTCTCTCGTGCCCCGGGGTGGAGGGGAGAGCCCTCCCGTCACTGCAGACAGGCTCACGTGTCTACCATCTCAGTTGTCCAGCCTCTGTTCCAGCTTCGCAGAGCCCCTTCCTCTTCTCAGGTGTGATGTTGGACCTGGCTAAGTGCCCCCAACAGGTGGAGAGTCAGCGCGATAGCCAAATAGGGAGTCTGGTTGTTGGGTAGTCGGCGTTTTATTTCAGACAAGTTCTGGTTGAGTGGGGCAAGCCTAAGAATAGTGGGAGCTGTGAGACGAGAGCTGTTGGAACTGTAACGAAGATGCCGAGCCGGACGTGCAGACGCGGAGACGCTGGGCCATGGGCTCAGGAGTGTTCGCACGTCTCCCCTCCTTGCGGTGGAGACGCTGGGCCATGGGCTCAGGAGTGTTCGCACGTCTCCCCCTCCTCGCCGAGCCACATGCTGGGCTGTGTGGTGGCCCCAGCTGCAGGGAGCTTAGGGTGGCGGGCTCAGGACACCCCTTTGACCCCGTCGTGCCTGTCTCACCTCCCACTGCCAGGTGAGAGAATGGCACTCTTTTTTTTTTCTTTTGGAGAGGTTTTTCGCTATAGGGCGTGCGCTCACCAGACAGACTGAGACAGAGAGACAGAAAGCGAGAAATCACCCCCCGGGGGGATGGTCACGTTGCAATCCCTTCTCCATTCTCCTCTCGGGATCTTGAGCACGCATGCACATGCACCCAGCGTGAGTTTTAAGCCACCGGGTCCGGGACGCGAACTGCGGTCGACTACGTGGGAGTCCAGCGACATAGCCATTACGCTAACTGCTGGTTCCCTAAACTTTTTTTTTTTTTTGGAGAGAGAGAATGGCAGCAGCTGGAGAGCAGGGGAGAACTGAGACACGAGGGCCGCTGCAGGGAAGCCTTGGGGCCAGGAAAGGGGTTGGGCTGCCACAGGCTGTCCATGAAGGGGCCGCAGCACCTCCTCGGTGGTTCCCAGGAAGGCTGGGCTGCTGCAGGCTATTTGCTACCTGGGGTCGTCTCCCTCTCCCTGCTGGCCTTTGACGTCTGTGGCTTTTCCTTTGTCTCTTCCAAATCTCTTTTTGCTAAGAGACATTAAAAAGAGAAAGAGAAAGATGGGTGCAAATAGCGGACCTGTCCCCTTGGTTCTGGGGCTTTGGGGAGGTCTTCGCCCCAGCGTGTTGGGTCTGTTTGCAGCTATTAATGCAACGTCGAGACAGTAAAGACAAAAAAGATGGAGTTAGAAGGTGGAGAATCGGAGAGTTCCCTAACTCAGCAGCTTCCAGCAAGAGTTTGAAAGTCAGCGTGGCTTAGAGACCTTGAAAGGTTTACCATTTATATGTCTGAGATGAACTCCCTGTGTTCATCTCAGGAACAGACGGTTTCACACTTCTCCTCGTGAGGCATTCTTTTCATCTGAAGGGCTGTGGCAGTGTGTGGTTTCCTGGTGTCGCATGGTGGAGCAGTCCAGGGTAGAAAGGAAAACAACTGCTTCACAGGGTTTGGGAAATGCCCTGGTCACCCCTCTCTTACTTCATGTTCCTTCTCCTTCCTTGGCTCCGCTTTCCCCTTCCTCTTGAGAGTACCTGTGAGGAACAGAAAGTGGGGTTTTTCGGGGGAGAGAGGGATTTTTGCTACAGGATGTGTACGCTCACCAGAGAGACAGAGAGGGAGAGATCACCCCCACGGTGGGTGGCCACACTGCAGTCCCTTCTCCTGCATTCTCTTCTCAGCGTTTTGGGCATGTACACACAAGCACCTGGCCTGAGTTTCAAAGCTGCCTGGTCCAGGACTCAAACCATGTGGGAGCCCAGCGTCTTACCCACGACACCATCTGCCGGTCCCCAGAATAGAAAGATTGTTAAATTCAATTGATATGTGCTTATTTTGCAGCTTAATAAAATGTAAATGTCTTCAAATACTGTGGTCCTTAGGTTCAAAATTTGAGCCTCCATTGTTTTGTGTTGGGGACTTGAGCGTGGTGAAAGTTTACCCGACCTCGATGCAGAGAAGCAGCAGATCTTCATTTGTGCTAAAGAGGCCGAGAAGTAGATGCCGCTCGGGCAGTGCCAGCTCCCTGCCCACCCCACCCCCACCTACGGGCCCAGACCTGACCTCCCTTCTGAGAGCCTGGTGACACGCAGGCTGATAGCACCCGCCCCTTCCCTTGACATCTGCCTCTGTTCCAGCACCGAGGGCCTTCATGTGGCTCCTCCTGTGCAGGCCGAGAGCCTCTGGGACCCTCCCCACGTGGCTGGGCGTATGACTTACACACTGGAAAGCAGAGGTTACGTGCCGTCTCAGACTGGGGTAGATGCCTCCTTTGGTCTCCCTGGGACTTTTCAGTCTCGGCAAGAAGTGCTTATGTTTAGTTGGTATGCCTCTGTGTGCGTGTGTGTGTTGTGAGTACGCAGTTTAATAATGTTTCAGATGCAGGCATACCCTTTGGTCCGTAAGGGTAGTTACCAGAGGTCCCAGAATTCTGAGAGTAAGCTGAATGATACTTGGGAAGTGAACTTTGTGCTATATCTCAAGTACCCACGGGTGACTGGAAACTAACTATGAATAATGACTTGGTGGTATTTTATAATCTTAAGAGAACCAAAGTTACCAATGAGAAATGTTGTCGTTATGGAACAGTAAAAGATTCCAAACTATTGCTGAGATCAATGGCTTACACCTGCTTGGCAGATGAATTTTATGTCCCAGGGTTTGTCGTGTACAGTTGTTACAGGCCGTGTGTGATTGATTAATACAGCCTTCTCCTCAGGCTGTTGACTTTGTCTGGAGACCTATGAAATGGAAAGATGAAGACCCATTAGAAGCCACCTTCAAAGGTGTCTGTTTAAATTGACTTCCAAGCTTGACAGCCCATAGTTTCTCTAAAACAGTGATTGTGTTTTCTGAAGAGACAGTAGTTTCTGTTGGAAGTAGCTGCATGTGGTTGCTATGCGAAAACATTCTCCATTCACCCACTTGCCTTCTCTGCTTAACAGTTCTTTAGTTACTCCTTTTAATTTTAATAGCTTAAAGCAACCCATATCCAGAACCATTAAACTATAGTGTCTCGGCATGTGGTAGTTTTGATTTTTAAAGATGATCTAATAACTATGAATGACATTATAGTCTTAGTTGAAAGTGTTAATGTCTTCAGCTTGTATCAGCTAAATTCTAAAGTTTTTGAGACTCACATTTTCTCCGTTGGATTTTATTATTTCCTAAGTTCTTGCTTTGGCTTCTGGTCCTGAACTGGGACAGCTGACGTTTCTGGGCTTGGTGGGCATCATCGACCCTCCTAGGACCGGTGTGAAAGAAGCCGTCACGACGC